TTTGCATTGATCTGCAGGAAGACACCGCAGCCAGCTCCTGCCTGCGGTGCACGCTATGCTCTTGCACATCGCAAGACGTTGCGTGGGGCAGGCTGAGAAACGAGTTGCCAGAAGGCAGACGATGTGCTGAGTGCCGGCTGCTGCTGCAGCGGCTGGCAACCGAAGCAGCGTCGTCAACACGGCGCCCATCATGGATGACAGCAACGTCGGAGCCTGCTTTGTGGCGACTGCTGGAGGACTGCCTTAATAGCAGCAACATTACATTGCCCGAACTTGTTGTTGCGGGGAATATCTGGCCACGCAACAGAATGAAGTTGCTGCTCCGCACAAAAATCACACACGCGACATGCCAGCTTGCATGACAAAGAACCAGTGTTGCAGGAGAACCCAAGAGCAAAGCAGGCGGTACTCAAGCTGAAGAAGCAATATGCGCACGCCAAGACCACTACCAACGGAGCCGTGCTGATACGGCTGCTGGCCCCGCAAGTCCAGACACGCACGGAGCAAGAGCTGCAGATAGAGACAACCAAATGGGATATCTATCCCGAGGCACGAAAGGTTTGCTGCTCGTGACAACAGACTTGCGCGTGCTACGCTGCAGGCCCTGTACAAAGAGACCTTCAACGTGACCACCGTCAGCCCGGAGGAGCTCACGCACTTGAAAATAGATGAATGCAGGTCGGACGCTCTTGTGCTCCTGTTCCGCATAACCAGATTCCCCCGCCAGTCTCAACGTGGTGGGAGTCGCCGTGATAGCTACACAGTGGAACCCACCGCAGCTCGTCTGCAGCTGCAGTGCAAGATCATCCTCTTCGGACCCATGCATCTGATGTGTGTGTGTGAATATGGATGTGATTGTGTGTGCGTGTGTGCGTTGGAGCCGCTCACAGATTGCGTGATCGATTGCAAACAGTTGAGACCACGCAGAAAAACGTAAGATCCACAATGCACACACCTGTTTGACAACAAAGACAACTGCTTCAAAGCAAAACGAAAGCAGCCTACCTATCAGTCGAGGATGCGAATGGTGTTGATGTCTGCCAGTGCCAAGCAGCGGTTCCTACAGTCCCACGGTCCCTTGAAGACCTTGCAAATGAAGAAGTCAGAGGGCGACGTAGCACGTGAGTTGTGTGCGCAAGCCTGCGCAGAATGCCCGCAGATAGCTGGTGTGAAGCCGCCGCACATGCTGGTGGATATGGATTGATCCTGACAATTCAAGTGCATGTGCGCACCGCAGAGCCAGCTTCTGGTGGCAACCATGAAAGCGACAGATGTGACCGAACACATACAGTGCTGGCCGACATATGCATGAAGCTAGCTAGGGGTGAAAGCCCAAGTTAGATTAAGCTAGAGAATGGCACGGACGATGCACGAACAAAAAGGCGGTGGATTGTCGTGTTTTGACGAAATGAAAGCTGACGCGGAGCAGACTCGTGACGCCACAGGCCCGCAGTGAACTTGATGGTGTGGGGGGAGGGTCCCGCGCAAATGTTACTACCCATGACACGCAACTAGCTTCCAACACCCACTTCATGCGGATTCCAACTTACACACCGCAAGATCCCAACACCAGCTTCCAGGATTCCAACTCCCAAATTCCAACTCCACCTTACCCCGCAAACTTAGATTCCCACACCTGCCCCAGACGAGAAGAGAAGATGAGGAGAGAAGACAGAAGACGAGGAGAGAAGATGAGAAGAGAAGAAGAGGAGAGAATAAGCGAATACGAGGAGAGAAGACGAGCAGAGAAGACGAGGAGAGAAGACGAGGAGAGAACACGAGGGGAGAAGTCGAGGAGAGAAGACGAGGAGAGAAGACGAGGACGGAAGACGAGGAGGAAAGACAAGGAGAGAAGACGAGGACAGAAGACGAGGAGAGAAGACAAGCAGAGAAGACGATGAGAGAAGACGAGGAGAGAAGACGAGAAGAGAAGACGAGGAGAGAAGACGCGGACGCAAGAGGAGGAGGAAAGACAAGGAGAGAAGACGAGGAGAGAAGACAAGGAGAGAAGACAAGCAGAGAAGACGATGAGAGAAGACGAGGAGAGAAGACGAGAAGAGAAGACGAGGAGAGAAGACGCGGACGCAAGACGAGGAGGAAAGACAAGCAGAGAAGACGAGGAGAGAAGACGAGGAGAGAAGACAAGGAGGGAAGACGATGAGAGAAGACGAGGAGAGAAGACAAGAAGAGAAGACGAGGAAAGACGAGGAGAGAAGACGAGGAGAGAAGACGAGGAAAGAACACAAGGAGAGAAGACGAGGAGAGAAGACGAGGGGAATGTCGAGGGGAGAAGACAAGGAGAGAAGACGAGGGGAGAAGACGAGGGGAGAAGAGGAGGAGAGAAGACGAGGGGAGAAGACGAGGAGAGAAGACGAGGAGAGAAGACGCGGGGAGAAGACGAGGAGAGAAGACGAGGGGAGACGACGAGGACGGAAGACTTGTTGGGAAGACGAGGAGAGAAGACGAGGAGAGAAGACGAGGAAAGAACACAAGGAGAGAAGACGAGGAGAGAAGACGAGGAGAGAAGACGATGAGATAAGACGAGGAGAGAAGACGAGGGGAGAAGACGAGAAGAGAATCAGTGAAGACGAGGAGAGAAGACGAGGAGAGAAGCCGAGGAAAGAAGACAAGGAGAGAAGACGAGGAGAGAAGACGAGGAGATAAGACGAGGAGAGAAAACGAGGAGACAAAAACGGGGGAAAAAAAAACAATACATAGGAGAAAAGAGGAGGTGAGAAGACGAGGAGAGAAGACGAGAAGAGAAGACGAGGAGAGAAGACGAGAAGAGAAGACGAGGAGACCATTTCCGGCTCCAGCTGCTAGAGCAGGCAGTTCGCGAGGAAGAAGGCCCGACCTACACTCCATTCTGGTACTGTGCAACCAGGTGTGATTTCAGAGTCATAGACTCCAGGAAAAACGGTGTTAGCCGGATTCTGGAGTAGCGCGCGTAGTGATTTAACATTCATGCTCTACAGTTTCCTCTCTCTGCATTGATATGACATTTCCAGATTTAAGTTGATTGTTGAACTGAGTGCCTTCAGGCCATCGGCCAGTGGTGCAGCGCTTTTTTCCATCCTTGCGTTGCTCAAGGGTTGCCAGCCATTTTGTGAGGGTGAGTTCTGGGGAGGCAAGCGTGTGTGCTCCAAGTATTAGGTCGTGCCAGTTTGGCGGAAAAAGGCATACCCCGGGTATTTGTTATGGCAGTTTGCTGTTTTTCCTCTTACAAAGGCTTGCCGCAGGTATTAGGCATTGGCAGCTTGCAGTTTGTCGTTTAAACACACGTCAAGCATTAGTTGTAGCAACTTGCAGTTTAAACTCAAAAAGCCTTACCCCGGAGAGAGACAAACAAATTCTTCGCTTCCTCCCTCTTCATCCGTCCAAACCACTTATTTGGTCCTCGTCAAGCCTCCCAGCTGTTGGAGGTGGGGCCTACTGTTGCCCCGGCGTAGGCGCCGGCGCAGGAGCTGGCATATGCCCCGGGCATTAAACAAAACAACCCCTCACCTGGAGACAAAGGGAAACACCTTAGTTTGAGCGCCGCTTGTATTTTGACACAGCTCCGCGGAAGCAACGGGCGCCGAGTGAAGTGGTTTCTGCGTGCGCTCGCGTGTTCGCCTGCTAATGACTTCTCAGCGGCTCAGTCGGGGTGCCTGCAGATGCCATTGTCTCTTCCTTGTTATGTTATCAACTCGCCTTTCTCACTCAAAGATTGCAGTAGGTGAGTTTACGTCTTCAGCGTTCCCTCGCAACTCGGTGTAGGCGTTAAGCATCACAGCGTTGCAGAAGCGCTTGCCAGGGACTGGTCGGCCAGCCAGGGTGCCGACAGGTGAAGCCTTGCCATCCGCGTCTTCTGCGGCAGTCCAGCGGGCCACTGTGCGCGCAGAAGTGACAGCCAAGAGCCGCAGCAGAAAGAGAAAGGCCGCTGGCGCCAGACAGTTCAAAGTCGCAGGCGACGAAGAGGGTACGTTCGAGTTTTGGCGCTCGAGATGCTGCTCTCGATGTCGGTGCGGTGGTGCCAAGGCTCGCAGCGGGCCGCTCAAGTCGCAACTACGTGCTTCTACTCCAGACCTCTTTGCGAAGTGCGATCTCCACGGAGCAGTCGACTTCTCTGCCTGCCGTCAGTGGTTTGACAGCGACATGGCAAGGGGCAGGATGTCCTGGTATTGTGGATACCATTGCATCCAAATTTTCCCAAAGGAAGAAAATGCAGGGTGGCGGGAGGGGGGGGTACAGGGCGCAATTGGGAGACTGCTTGCACCACAACATGCAGCCGTACAGGATTCACTGCACCATCAGCAGCAGCATCATCAGCACAATCTCATCATCATCATCACCATCCCCATCCCCATCATCATCATCATCACCACCACCATCATCATCAGCATCATCAGTCAGCACCACCACCATCAGTGCCATCATCACCATCATCATCAGCATTGTCATCACCATCATCATCCTCATCCTCCTCATCATCATCATGTTTTAGTCAGGACAATAATTAGTACTATTTGGAGGTGGCTAGGTTGTCCTGCCAAGATTTTGAGCTCAGGGCTTCGGAGCTGCATCTTTTTGAAATGAACTCGATTGAATTGGCAACATCAAAACAGCATATCTGGACTTCAAGCCGCTTCCTTCAACTCGTCTGCGCACCCAGCCTTGGCGAAGGGGCGCTTCACCAGTTGCTGCATGCGGCTGGCAGCACGCTTTGCAGCTCCGTTATGATGATGTATGGAAAAAGTGGGCGAAAAATTCGAGGGACCTCTGTAAAGCTGGAGCCAAACAGCAAAATTACATATGAGGAGAACATCACTCTGAAACTCCTAAAAAAACACATGAAACCTTTTGTAATTGTTGAGTCAATAACAGAGAAGATTTGATGGAAACAACCCCCGGTGTGTTCTTTTAGGGGCCCAGGGATTCCCACATCTAACAGGGGTACCCTCAAGAAACACCAATATTGACTTCGCTTCTCAAACTCCGAGCCTGTGGATCCATGGCAGGACCGCCGCTACAGCACCGAGGCCAAGGCGCGGTCCGAATTTTCGTCTTTGAGATGTTTTTCTGGATGCTTTGCGAGGCCAGTGCCGCTGCCAACAAGTTCCTGAAGGCGAGGGAAAAGGGGCGAAAGCTTCTTGCAAAGATGGTGGGCGAAATGTCTGCAACCAGGGTATGTTCAACTTGTTCCATGTTCTTTCCTGGTTCCACTTGTTTTTTGCTCTCCCACTTGTTCTGTAATGTGATGTGATGCGGTGTGGTGTGATGTGATGCGATCGATTGTGTACTTGGATTCCCGGTTGGGTCATGTAATGTGTTGCTATATGATGTAGCATAACTTGATGTGTGATGATGCCAGGTGATGAGATGCGTTTTGTGTGGTGTTGTGTCAGGTGGTGTGATGCGGTGTGATGTGGTGTGATGAGGTTTTTGTGGCGTAATTTGACGATTTAATTTGTGATGTGATGGCGTGGTGCGACATGAGGTGACGTCATGTTGTGTTGTGTGCCGTGTTTTGGCGTAGTGTGGTGCAATGTGTGGAGATGCGATGTGGTGACGTGGCGTGTTGTGATGTGATGTCATGTTGTGTGAGTCAATGTCATGTGATAAGTTGTTGTGATTGTCATATAGTATGATGTGGTGCGCTGTGGTGTGATGTGACGTGGCCTGTGATTTGCGTAGTGTAATTTGGCTTGCTGGGATGCAATGTAATCTAATGCAAATGTAACGCAAAGCAACGTAGCGCGCTGCAATGTAACACCATTTGAGGTTGGCGAGTGTTGACTGGGTGCGTTTTGTTGTGATGTGGTGTGTTGCGTTGTGGTGTGATGCGAGGTGTGGCGTGTATTCGTTGTTTGTGTCATTTGGTGTGAGATGCGTTGGAGTGTGTGCGCGTATTGTGTTGAGCTTCGGTGTGCTTTGCTTTGCTGTGATGTGATGTGGTGTTGTGATGTGTAATGCGTGGTTGTGTAATATGATATCGCGTACGTGGATTAATTGTTCGGTCAGGGAATGTGTTGCCATTCAATTGTGGTGAGGCAATGTGATGGCAGTATGATGATTGTCTTTGTGATGCGCTTATAGGTGATGTCAGCTTGGCTTGCCATCATATTTTGTTTCTGGGCGTGACATGTTTCGATGTGTGGTCATGTGATGTGGCGTGTTGTATTGTGGTGTGACGTGATTGCGATGTGATGTTGAGGCCATCTGATAAGTCATCGCTGCTTCTTCTTGTGTGAAGCGATGTATCGCAATGTAAATGTAATGCAGTGCAACGTAGTGTGCTGCAATTTAACGCAAAGTAAGCTACTCCAAAGTGACGCCACGTGATGCGATGATCGAGATTTTCTGCAATGTGTTGTTTTCTGGTCTTGTCTTGATATTTTGTGTCGTGTTGTGATGTGTTGTGATGTGTTGTGTTGCCATTTGGTGTGTAGCGATGTGATTGCGCGCGCGCGTGTGTGTGTGTGTTGCTCTGTGAGTTGTTGCGATGGCCTGTTAGATGCTTCCGAGTGATGTGGGGGATGTGCGGTGACAGAATAATATGATGTGTGAAACCACGAGGTGTGTCATGCGGTGCTGTGTTGTGCTGTGATGCGGCGTATTGCTGCGTGTCGTTGTTGCGCGATGAGGCGTGCGGTGATGTTCTGTTGTGTTGGGTGATGCTTGGTTGTGTGATGTGATTTGATGTGACGCGGCTCGTGTTGTAATGCAGCAATATTATGTACGCACCTTCTTGTCTGCATGTGTGTTGCACTTCCAACATCTCAACACCTTGTTTCACCTTCCGCTGGGCTGGTTGTGGCTGCGACTCTGAGCCGGGCGGGCATGTCAGTGGCGGAGAGCCGGGGGGTGGCTCGTTCGCGCATGCCTGTAGGTACTGGGGAAAGAAGGGCATTCCTGTGAGAGAGCTTGTCGCCCCCAAAATTGCCAGTTGCCAAGGAGATTGAGTCGCCCAAGGTGAAAGTGCTCCTCAGGAAGAACACCAACGACGAGAAGCCCTCGCAGGAGGTGTTGCTGGGCGTTCTGTTTAGACAGCTCGCCCTTTCCGCGCCTCCTTGACATTTTCTGGCGCACTGTCCTCAACCCCTATGAAGTCCCGTTTTGTCAGGGGGGCTGGCAGGGGGCGGCATTATTTAGGGCTAATTTGGGCTCCCTCCCTGCTCCCATCATTTCTGAAAAGCTGTGCCCGCAAAGTTGTTTCTTTCCTGCCTTCATGCTGCCCAATCACTTCCGAGGCTGACGAGGCGTGCATATGTGCCCAAGCCGCTCTGGCTGCAAATGGGACGCAGCCCAAGTTTCTCCGTTATGTTAACATGTGACACAAGGTGTGCGTGTGCGTGTTTGCAAAAGCTGAATCCACAACATAAGGCAGAATTAATACAGGTCCTGGGTTCCAGGTGTCATTTTGTAATGAAAATATGTTGGTTTGTAGTTTTTGTCCAGTTCAGGCAACAGCATACAGTGTCAGGCAAACACAAGTTATCGTGTTGATACTTCGAGGATTTGCCCAGCATTTTCCTTCCTTTCTTTGCCTTGTTTGCCAATTCCTGCTCCTCTCCAGTTTGCTTTCTCACGATCACCTTGTTTTCAGTTTCTAAAAGTCTCTGGTGATAGACAGGGAAATGAGATGGAATGAGCGTCAAAGGCTGCACATGGTGATTCGGAAACTGCGGTTCTCTATGGCAAGTTCGAATTTAAGCACATTGAAGACATGCGGCGTCGCAGCGTCGCCCCCCACCCGCAGCGTCGGAGCGTCGCAGCGTCGGCTGCTCAACCGGCCCCCTTTCCCCCTGCAGTGCAAAATGAGAAACCCCGACAAGGGGTCGGGTCCCTTTTCTGCCAGGGTCACTGGGCAACTGGGGAGTTGTGCCTCCACAATACTTTGCGCCAATTGTATCGACACCTGGGGGCAAAAACCAGCGCAGCCATCAAGCCTTTGAGATGACTCCTTTGTTCTTGTTGGTAAGTTGTAGTAGTTTGCTCAGACTACTCACCCTCAAATTGGAGGACCCCCCCCCCTAGCGGGGTTTGCCTTTTGATCCCCTTTAATTACGTAGTGCCTTGATCCTTCACCCCCTTTTTCGGGATTCCACCGATTTCCCTACGAAAAAGTGTGGAACGCCTCCTAAAAAGGTTCCCGTTTGCTTTTTTTCGAGAAGGGGTGTCAAAAGATGTTGAAGGGCAAACCTTGCAAACTTCACATGCGCAGTTTCTGTCACGGACGTTGGGCACGGCGTTCGGAAGACTGGGATCGTTCATTTCAAAATGTTCTCTGTGCGTGAGTCAACAAGAGATGCCTTGAAAGGGGGGCAGGCAGTTGGCATTGCTGATCGCGCCAAGTGCCCTGGCGGAAAGATGTTTCACTACGCGCGCGCTTGGCAGTTTCAGTTGGGGGTCACGTGGAAAGGCGTTGCGCACAGTTGCTCAGCATGTCCGACAAGGGATTGTGAACAACATGCGCCGGGCGATTATAGCAAGATGTGGCATTGGTATGCCTCCTGAACGGCAAGGCGTCCATGCGAAATGCTGTTTAGCAAGGGGTTATGTTTCCTTTGTTTGGTAGGAAGTCATATTCACCCTAGATTCGTCCCATCGACCAAATTAATCGGAATCTCCCGAAAGTGGACTAATTCCCCACTTAGAAGGGAATCACCCGTGATTGATATGGTCCTCCAGAAAAGAGAAAAAGCAAAAGACGATCCAAGATCAACAGTATGTTGCAAGGCAGTTGCTACTCGAAAATTGGGCAGCCATGCCGGATTCCCATGTGCGTCTTTGGCATCCTTCTGTGTTTGTTTGTTCATGTAGCTTACCCATTGTTTTTCCGTATTTGGCTCTTGTTGACTTCCAGGGGTCAAAGATGTCGCCCAAAGTCATGCCCAACTGTCAGCCAGGAGCTGAAGGGATCGAAGGAGGTGGAGGTGAACATGGTCTTGGAGCGGAAGAAAAAGGGCAAGGACAAGGCCGGCTGGGCATCGAATCTCGAGCCCCAGACCTCCAGTGGCATTTCCTTCAAGCGGCGCACGACTTGCGGGATAGAAATGGCCCTAGAAATTCAATCGCGGAATCCACTGAGTGCTGAATCGTATGCTCCCCGGCAGATTAACATGGAACCTAACCAAGCGTCATTTGTAGAGGAGCCTCCTTTAGAGGTCATGTTTGCTTGCAGGGGAGTAGGTGCCGTTTTTCGCAAAAGGGACCAACTGGGGATGGGTGGTTTTCATTTTTTCAGACCCTCTATTTCACGCCCGGACCAACACTATCCAAAGCAGAGGACGGTCCACACTGTGTGGGTGCCGTGTCTGACAAACACTATGTTGCTTACATGCCATGATATTAGCATCCTCCTTTGGTCGCCCTTCTCAAAGTGAGGCCCTAGTAGCCTATTGGGGGACATGGGGGTATTATATAACAGTTTTTTGCGGGACTACGAAGGACATCTTGCTTCCCTAACGTCACACCCAATCTCATGGGGCAAAGAAAAGAACCTCCATGTGCCGAAACCCTGGCGTGAGGGGAAGGAGAAGGCCAGAGCGCCCTCCAAGCCTCGCCCGGACAAGGACCCGATGTGCAATTTGGCAGAGATCGTACATTTTATTTTAAAGGTTCGTATTTGACACATCTCTTGTTGGACCAGTTTAGATGGAGTTTCCGTATGTTGAAATGGGACATGAACGAAATCTTGTTCCGAGTTGTCGCATTTGTTTGGGGCGAAGGTTTCCGAGGAACCCCTGAAAAGCCTGATTTGTTTGATAGGCGAAGGTTTAGGGAAAGGCCTAGAAAGCGGACGGGAACCCACGAAGAAATATGTATTTGCGGGGAGTTCGTTTTTTTTGTTGTTGTGGGAATCGTGTTCTTCAACGCAACACTTAGAAGGACCATCGGGACTGGATCACTCCCCCGGAAGGGCTTCAATTAAGCCTGCCTTCAGCCTTTATTCTGATTGGTGCTTTCGATTGGTGGTGTGGGGATTTGAACAGTCTTTTCGGTAGGTCGAGAGGAACACGGGGTTTTTGAACTGCCCTTCGGCCGGCGGAGTTTGAAGGGAAGCCAAGAGGACAAACAAATCTTTGGCAGCACCCAGTTCTTTGTTCTTTGCAGGTCACATGTTCAATGCTGCCTCTTGCAGGTTGATTGCGTTTGACTCCCCAGGAGGGGTTCTAATTGTCGAGGAGCGTCAGTTTGACAGGCCTTAGGCAGACGATTGGAAAGGCAAAGGAAGCTGGCAATTGGGCGCGGCCGACGAAGGTTTCTTCTGCGTTTCGGGTGTCTTCTACAATCGGCGGAACCCTCGCGTAGTGGTGTCGGCTTCGCTTCCAGGTCACCCCTTTACACAGCACCGGGTTGGAAAGGTGGAGCACCCCAACCATGTTTGGACCGCAGGAACTCGGAACGGGCACCGGATCGATGGTTTCAAGGGACCTGCGGACCTGCGAGGTGTGGCAGTGAGAGTTGGGAGCGCAGGAGAAGAAGTCCCTGGCCGGCCTTGCCGCCTCCAGCAGCCCCTGGCGCGCCTGAGTCCCACGGGCTCGCTGGGCGGCTTCGCCCGGAATTGGCGAATTTTCCGCGCCACGGCCGCGGCGCCATTTCTAGGTGGCGTCCAGCAAAGGCGGATCTCGATCACCCCGCTTGAGCAGGGAGAGAAAAAGACGAGACACGTCACAATGTCTGGGCTCTCTGGTTCATCGAGTTCTTGGGGTAAAGCAAGCTCAAAGCCCTAATGATTGTGTCTTAAATACTTGGGGATTCCAAAGTTCCCGCTTGTAAAACATAAACTATACATACCACAGTGTTCCATAGTTTGCCCAGGAGAGATGTCTCAAGGTTTGTTGCATTTCACCTTGGAATTGCACAGATAGGTTTGATGCAACCTGTGCAATGGCCGCTTCCACATGTCAAAACCAATGGACAGTTGACGGCTCGATTATATGATATGGGGAGCTGTTGGCTTCTTGTTCTGTTTGTCAAGGTTTGCCTCTTCACTTTTCACGAGCTTGTGAGTCTCTTCATTCCAAAAGGCTTCAAAGGCCAACCTTCCATCCCACGCACGTCCTTCGAGCCTTGGAACCTGTCGGCAGGGCCGGGACCCCCACTCTTTGTTCTCTCTATGCGCAGATCCATACCCAAGCCGTGGCTCAAAGCTGGGACTGTGACCTTGGTTTCGGTTGAATGTTCACTTGAAGGGGAGGGATCCCTATTTTGACCTCAGACCACCGTTATTCAGGGGCCTGTTTTATTTGGTCGAATGAGGTAAAGACTTAAAAGAGTGAGACACTGACCAGTGCCTTTGCTTCATTTCTTATTCGCTCAAATTGAAGACACACCTCACCCCAACGAGCCGTGCGTCGGGGACTTGGCTCTCTGAAGGAGGTCTCCCCGTGGTCGTCGCCAGTTCGCCATGGTGAGAACCTCTCGCCATGAAGAGCAGGAGGGGATGCGAATGGACTGGTTGCGTCGCTGCCTGTTCTTAGCAATGTCAGCCTCGCGCCATACTACCTAGAGGACTTCCCCCCAAATGAACATCTTCTGAGAAGGGAATCGCCCCTGAATAGAAACATATAGAAACAGTATGTTTCTCCGGATGACCATAGAGATCTCGTGTGAATTTGCCATGTCACGCATTTGATGGTCGACGCAACATACGACACTTTGTTCTTGCCGGTTGCAGGAGGACGGCCTACAGTCCCTGCTCGCATACTTCAGGCGGCGAGGGAGTTGCCTCAGCAAGTCGAGAGGTTGCTCGGGTTCCATGCTGCGTTTCGGATTCCCCATGGAGAATTATCAGCAAAAGAGAAGGCACTGATTGGTTTGCTTTGTGGGGGGTTGCCTTTCAAGGTGGGCAAAATCAAAGCTTTGGCATTCTTCTCTTGACGCGCCCCGGATGAATTAGCTTGGAAAGAGCTTGACGGAGCCCCTGTCAAAAATGGGTCGCATCGTGTTTTCTGTAGGCTGGATGCCTACTAGGTATGTTGTTCCAGGGCCGTTTCTTTTCAGATGCTGCCACTTGATGGGTTGTCTGCAAAGGATTGGTCAAACAAAAAATGGACAATGGAAAAGGAGTTCCGTCTCGTTGACATCGTTGGACCATTGGGTTGCCTGGCCCCCACCGTCAAGGAACTGAGGGTTCCAAATTTAAGATGTATGGATGTTTCGCACGGCAGTACACTACCACAAGTGATTGGTTTTCGGCACACATGACAAATTCGCCGAGGGGTAGGCAAGCGAATTCATCCATGAAGGATCCATAGATCCTTTGTTTCCAGATAACGAGCTATAGTATTCCGAACTCTCCTCGCAATTGCACCCCCTTCCCACTGTTCGTGAATGATGCTTTTGGGGTGGGGCCTGGATGTTGGCTGTTTGTTCTGAAACCAATCTTCAAGAGTCGCAGAGCTTCTGGACAGGTGTAGCTCCTGCTGCACGACCGATGGCGATGGGGCCGGGGCGCCAGATGTCAAGGTGTTTTTTTTTGGGTTGGCAGCAACTGTTCAAGCTCAGGGTGTTCCCACTTTTGCTTTCCAACTTCTGCAGTGCCGGAACCTTTTTTGTTTCCACAGGAGGCGGCTCTTTTCGTGGGCTTGGGGATGGCTTTTGGCTCAGCTTTCCAGCTCTTGGCTATGACCTCTTGGCATCCTTCTGGTCATGGGGGTAAAACGATCTCACCCGTGATCAAGGTTCCTTTCCTGGGGAATCCGGTTGCCCGGATTGTGTTGGAGAGACAGGAGGGCTTGGGAAAGACTGCAGGAGCCATTGCGGCAGATATTGGGCCAACCACCTAAGAAGGTCCCTGCTTCTTTGTGTCGTTCTTCCATTGGATACGTAGAACCCCTGGTAAAAGCATGTTGGGACGGTCCCCGCCCAATCCTCATGCGCAGCAGCCTGAAAACATGCCTGGGCACCTTCCGTGTCAGGGAGGTTTCACACACCACGTTTTCTTTAAGGGTCAAAAAAATCTCCCAGATGCTCAGGCCAGACACTCCAGAAATTGCGGCTCCTTGCCGATGGGTTCGTCTCGAAAGGAGGGTGGCTTCCCCTTAGCCAACCAAAAGGGGGTTCGGAGACTCTCACAGCCATGTGAGGTCCTAACATTGTGCACTTCTCCCGTGCACTTCTCCGTGCTGTGTTTGCCGGGAGAAAGTTAACATGTGCAGGATTTTGCCCATCCACAGGTCAAACATAGTGGTTGATGTCATTGTGTGATGTCAGGCGGGTTTTGAATTGCACACGTCGCGCCTAGTTCTCTCCCTGACAATGACTCACCACCTGTTGAGAACTTGTTCTGTGAAGGGGGTGTCCAACTGAAGTTACCCTTTCTCCATGTGTCCGCGGGTGCCATCAGGTTTGTCCTTTTGTTTGCTGGAAGAATACACAAGTCCTACGGTTTCCCTTTGTGCCATAACGTATCCTTTAAGCATCCCCAGGGTCTCAGGTCGCCACGCACATCTCCGGCCAGTCAATGTGGCCCGGCGCTTGGCACTCTGCAGGCGCTGGGGTTAGGTAAGTGGGACCTAACATGGAACCAGCTGGTAAGTGGGAAAAGAAAAAAGAACTGCGGTACCCTGGTGTTTAATGTTTGACCCAACCATTTGGTTGAAATAGATGCTGCGGTTAAGCCCCTTTTAAAAGAAATGGTGTTCCCTTAGTTCGAAGGA